TTATATCAGCTGGCAGGATCCTCCTGGAAGCTGAGATGCAGAACCAAAGCGCTATGCATTCTTACTGCTGGGTGGTAAATGGGAAAGACAGTAACCTGCTACGAGCTTTTAGTGCGTGCTTGCGTAAGGCACGCTGGTAGGTTCTTTTCTAAGCAGTCTAGGTCCATGGTCTTAGACATGCTTTTGAAGGCTGGCCCGACAGGGAAACCTATATGAAGACTATGTACACAGCCACGTGGATGTCCTTTATTGTCTTTGCATTTTTTTTTTTGATCAAGAGTGGATATACGTTAGGGCCAAGTCAAAGATCTCCAGAAAACCGGAGTTGAAAGAACCCTTGGGGAACATCTAGCTCAAATTTTTGGGAATGGGAAGAGGTCCAGAGAGGGGAAGGTGCTTGCCAGAAGTTATACACAGCCGGTGAAGTCTGGGGCTGCAGACCTAGGCTTTCTGAATAAAAAATATTTCCTAAAATGACTCAACACTACCGTAGTGATGTACTCCTGTTCCCAGTTAGACCCTTTTGGATAAATGCTGATGTTCATTAACCATCAAAGGGCACAGGTAGACTCTCTGCACGTGGCAATGAGCTCTTCTCCAGCTGAAACTATTTCTCCATCTCTGCTCACTTTGAGGGGTGGGATGGGAATATGGTAGCCCAGGCTTAATGTCATTGATGGGACGAAGTGAGGTGAAGTTCTCGTTCCATGGCAACAGAATAGCCTCTCACAGTGGTTAAAAAAAAATAAGCTGAACTTGAGCTTGGGGATCATCTACACCCACATAGCCTAACTATTAAGACTGAGAGCTGAGATTTCCTATGGCGACATGACTTGGCTAATTGTTCCCCCAAATTCAGACCTAGGAAGGTACAACTATAAACCAATAAATAACTTCACTGTTGGCTTCGTGGAATTCCTGCAAGCCAATTTATCTGAACACACAGTCTGATCCTCTAGGCAAACATCTCTCCTATTAAGACAATAGATCACTCACCTGGGTAAACAATTTTCTCAACAAACAATACTTTGAGTATCAAGATTTGCTTTCAGGCTCTTCCCTCCCTGTATCTGTCAATCCTAAACTATATTGTCACAAACTTTGTCCAATCCTGATCCACTCCCTGATTTGGAAAATCTACCTTAAACCACTTGGATGCAGACCCCCAAATCCTATAAATATCTTCTGTTGATTTCTTCCTTTTAAGAACTACTAAGATTCTTTATTCTCTCTTACTACAGTAGGTCTAACAAAATTAGCTTTGGTTGAGGAACGGGTTTCCTGGTGATGTTTCAAAGAGTCAGCAGTTGACAAACCACTCTTCACCCAGGGCTACTTGGGAGCATTTTGCTTCCTTTTTAGGGGGTGGGAGTTGCTTCCTGTTTCAGCCACCTGATAATTGGGAATCAAAGCAGAGTTACATTGTCTCTAAGGGAGGTTTCCTCATCAGTAAATGTTTTGTCAGTACCTGGGTTCACTGGCACTGCCAAGAGGGTTCAGATTTCATGTGAATGTCATTACTGGAAGTGAAAATATTTTCCAAATACCTCCTTTTGCACAAGGAAAGATTGAGTCTCTGTGACAACAGACCCTTCTCTGATTTTGGGGAGAGAAGCTAAAGTTGGCTGTTTTAAGCAATGTCATTCCTTCTGCAAGTCCAGGATTTTTGATTCAATCGATGAATCACTGTTCTCTCTTGAAACCAGTCTGAACTTGCTTTGGGACGATGGTGCCACGGAAGAGGGAGATGACAGTAAGACACGAGGTAAAGGTAGGAGAGCTTTGCTCTGGCTTTCAGGGATTGTGTCCTTCCGTGTGTGACTAGGATGACAGCGACAATAAAAAGAGTAGGCAGGACAAAGGAAGAGGATGGCCTTCGCCCTGGCAATGTCAGCGCAGGTAAGTTGGAGGTTGAGCAGAGAGGCAGAGGTCACAGAAGTAATGATCGATGATGCCGGGGCAGAGAAAGGCAAAATGAAGATGCCTTTCTGCATGACCACGTCACCAATACCAGCAGCCAATGCCCTTTTAGTGCCCAGACTGGATAATCCTAGCAGAAGTGGGGAAACTGGTTTCAAATGATCGTCTACTATAAACCATGCTGTACGCTAAGCATTTTGCCATATAAGTATTTAATCCTCACACAACTTTCTTGTTTACAAATTATGCTAGATTGTATGTTGCAAAACCAGATTTAGACACCAGTCCTGTCTGATTCTGTAACCTGTGTAACTTCTGTTTCATCTTATGCTCTCATGAATCTACATTTTTCTGTCTCAGCATTTCTGGTTCATGGGGGAAGAGAAATAAGGGAATCTGGGAGAATGACCAGGTGGCCTAGGAGGTGGTAATTACCCAATAGGTCTGGGCTGTATTTAGGGGCATGTGATTTCTCAGTGACAGCCGAGCCTGGGAAAAAGGGAAGTGAGGGACTAGCATGGTAGAATGAGGGCTCAGAGCAGCTGGACACTGCACTGTATTTCTCCAGGCCTGGGAGATTCTCCTCGTGGAAAACTATGGTTCTTTGGTGGTAGACCCTGCCACCCTCATTGTTATGTGATTTGTGGCTTCATTAATCTTTCTCCACTGGATAGAAATAATAAGGAAGATAAAATAACAGGAAGACACAGGTTAGAGAAATTATTCAGTGTAAGGATAGCTGATATGTGCTGAATGCTAATTAAGAATCTGGCACTGTTCTAAGCACCTTATAGATGTTACATCTCCTTTAATCCTCACAGACCACCTTATGAGGTAATTAATACCGACACACTCATTTTTCAGACAAAGAGCCCAAGGTCATAGAGCTTTGGATGATGGAGCTGGGATCCAGCCCCAGCACTGGCTGGCTCCGAATCCCATCCTCCGAACCTCAAGGGTGCACTGCCTCCCTAGGGAAAACTAATGGTGAGGCTGGACAAGACTGCACTGCCTAGGAACCAAGCTTGGTGGAGCCACCGCAGGGGACCCCACAAGGTCTGGGGACTCAGTGCGACACAAATCAAAGGTGATCTATTAGGGCTTGTTTTGGTTATCTCTTGCTGTATTAAAAAAACTTCCTAAGGTGCAGTATCTTAAAAAATACAACAATTCAGTATTTCTCAGCATTCTGTGGGTTAGAAGTCTGGGTAGAGCTTGGAGGACATGACTGTTCTCCGTCACATGGTGTAGACTGAGGTCACTTGCTCAGCGGAATGCAGCTGGCAGCCCGGCTGTCCTGGAAGGCTCAGGCCTTACTCTGTGTCGGATGCTTCGTGCCTCCCCATGTGGCCGTTTCACACGGCTCGCTGGGCTTCCTCAGAGCATGGTGGTCTTACGGTGGGCTTCCAAGATGGAGGAAGTGGAAACCAACTGTCCTCTTTAACATGAGGCTTGGAACTGGCACATCGTCACTTCTGCTGTATGCGGTTGGTCAGAGCGAGTCACAAGTGGAGTTGGCAGGTAAAACACGTGGTGCCCAGGTAAATCTGAATTTCAGGTAAACAATAAATAATTTTTGGTACAAGTGTGTCCTGTACAATATTAAGGCAAACTTATGCTAAAAAGCTTTTCATTCTTTATCTGATGTTTAGTTTTCACTAGGCATCTGTATTTTGATCTGCTAAATCTGGCAATCCTAGTCACAAGACTAGTCCAGATTCAAGGGAAGGGGGAAGAGATGTCCCTTCATCCCAGTCTTGATGGGAGGAGCGGCATGTGCATTCACAGAAGGAAGGAATCAACGGTGACCATTACTGAGGACACTCTACCTCAAAGTCCATGGAATACATCCTAGATAGTGGAGACAGTAGAGCTTAGTTGGTTGGGCACTCCAGAATCTGAGTCTCAATCTTGGTTCTGCCACTTGTTAATTGTGTAATCTTAGGTGAGTTACTTTACCCTCCTGGGACTCAGTTTCTTTATCTAAAAAATAAGGCTATTAGACTATTTACAATAGCCAAGACATGGAAACAACCTAAATGTCCATGGACAGATGATTGGATAAAGTTGTGGTATATTTATACAGTGGAATACTACTCAGCCATAAAGAAGAATAAAATAATGCCATTTGCTGCAACATAGGTGGTCCTGGAGATTGTCATACTAAGTGAAGTAAGTCAGACAGAAAGAAAAAAACCACATGATATCATTTATATGTGGAGTCCTCCCCCCCAAAGACATAAATGAACTTATTCACAAAACAGACCAGACATAGAAACAAAGTTATGGTTACCAGTGGAGAAAGGGGGGAGGAGGGATAAATTGAGAGTTTGAGATTTGCAGATACTAACTACTATATATAAAATAGATAAACAAAAAAGATCTACTGTATAGCACAGGGAACTGTATTTAATATCTTATACTGAAATGAAAAAGAATATGAAAACAAATATATGTATGAATGAAACATTATGCTGTACACTAGAAATTGATACAACGTTGTAAACTGACTATACTTCAAAACAAAAAATAAAATTCCCTCATGGACCAAAAGAAAAAAAAGAACATAATGGGGCTATTAGTAGTCTGAGCCTCCTGGGGGTCGTTGGCAGCATTTTATAAGATGGAAACAACGTGCTCCAAGTACGGTAGGTATTTGATGAATGTTAGCTGTTCAAGTGCAGATCTGGGTGATGTTCTTGAACTACCTAGTCAGAGAGCAAAGGGCAGAGAGCCCCTGCTTTGACCCTTCTCCGTCCCTCGGGGGATCACACCCAAGGTGAGCACCCTTTCCATTACTGTCCTAGCATCGGCCAATTGGTCAGCGTTCCTCGCTACTTGCCCCAGAGACAAGCCACCACACGTGTGTGATGTGCACACACTAGAAAGTCCCCCCACGTGATGGAATATTTGCACAGCTTTATTACTTCCCAAGGTTTCGCTGCACTGGGACCCCATAATCTGAGATTCGTGTCGCACAGAGGATGGGCCCCCAGGAAGAAACATAAAGGAAAAGCTGCAGCGTGTACCATGAAGCAGATACTGGGTTGAAGAAGTGATGGGGGCTTCTAGGAAAAATGCTAGCAGGAGTCTTCTAACTTGTGCTTCCTGCAGCGGGAAGATTCTTCCTTGAAATGCAGAACCACCTTGAGCAACGGGAAGGAATGAGGAAGCAGCTCGACTGCAGCCCTGAGGTGGGTTCTTTCGCCTTTATCATATGTGTGAGCAGCTGGCAGCCCCGTGGCAGAAGGGCGGCCCGTGAGCCGGAACCACTGGTCCCCGGTGGATTGGGAGCCTTTAGCTAATATGTGAGTGAGAGCCCCGCTGAGTGAGAACTCTGGCTTCCCTGAGGAGCTCCGCTGCGGGGACTCGGTGCCGGGGCAGCCAGGGCAGTGACCCACATTTGGGCCAGATGTCTGAGCGCAACTCTTGTGACTGCGGAAGTCAGAAGAGGGGGAGGCACGAAGGCAGAGGCGTCAGATGGGAACCCCTAAGAAAATTCCGAAGGATCCCATCCTGCTCATAGGTCCTCAAGTCTTTCTCTGGTCTTCCTAGGGCACAATTTCAGAGCCTGCCAGCCCTGTTCATATCTCTTGTTTACTGGCAATTTTGTAAATTGAGCGATTGGTTCATTTTTATAACGAACTGCAGTTTTGAGTGTAAAAGCGCGTGTGAGCTGAACACATATTCTGTTGGATGCAGCAGTCACATCCAGGGGAAGCCGCCCTGTTCAGACCCTGAAGTTCTGCTTCAGACACATTGTATTGGTTAGCACTTCACAGATCTGTGGGTGTGGAGTTTTCTGGATGATAACGACTGCAGCGCTGGCCTTGAAACCTCAGTCTCTCACATGATCAAACATCAGACTGTATCAATGTCTTAGACTAGAGGAATGGGGTCTGAGATTGACTGGCACCCTTCTATTGAGCAAATCCATCTTTACAGAGCTTATCCATACACTGCCTGTGAGCCAGGCTTGCTTCCTGTCTAACTCGGCTTCTTGGGACTGGTGGCCCAGGTTCTTTGAGGTCCCAGAGAAGGTAGGGATGAAACTGGGTCTGTGACAACTGGTGGGGGGTGTGGACGGGGTTCAGTATCCTGTGGAGAAGGCAGCGTGACCACTCCCTGGCAGGAACCGTGAATCTTATGAAGATTATCTGCCCATCTGCCTTTCCTTGTGATACTAGTTGCCTCTGATCAGCTCCAGCAGGAGACGCCCTCGACTGTCTTGGATTCTTTCTCCAAGGGCAGGCCCCTTTCTTACCTAATTCTGACTCCTTCCATCATGCCCCAAGTTGTCCCTGGAAGTGATGTCTGGAGAGACAGTGCACCTGGTGAGTGAAGCTGTCAGCCGCTGGAGAGCTTGAGTTTTCCACTGAAGATCCCAATGTCAGGTCCCCACTTCATTACAATGTCTCCACCCTCAAGGACCTTCAGGGTTAGTTTAAGACCCTGGAGAACAAGATTGCCATCTAGGAGATTCAAAATGATTCACCCCCTTTCCATCTGCACACAGGAGACTTTCGGGGTCATTTCTATTCCAAACGGGACAGACCGAAGCCCAGCAAGGCTGACCAGCTTCTCTCAGGTGATGGAGCCTGCACTGCCAACAGTAACCACGCATCCAACCTCGACTGCTTGCTGTGACTGCGAGCCCTTGTTGCCCAGTGCTTTCCTGCCTGGCTGGGACCACAGGCTGGTCTCTCTCTTAGCACCTGTGGCTGGAGCTGCCCCTACCTTTGGCTTCATTTCCACCCAATGGAAAGTTCTAGATCTTCAGGTACTGGGTGGGCTCTGGGTGCTCTTGAGACATGCATAAATAAAAATTTAAATGCATTTAATTCAAATGCTCTTGAGAGAGGTAACACATTGATTTACCTTCCAATCAACACTCTGATGATTCTTACTGGGTTCTGTGCCAGATGGTTTTAGGTGAAGGGATGGGCAGGAGAGGGCAGTGTGTGTGGGGCTGAACAGGTTGGATGCCTTGTCTCTTGGGGCAGACTTTGCCCTGTCACCTGCTGCTCCTGCATCCACCCCTCTGCCCTGCCTTCCCTCCATTCCTCTGAGGCTACTCACCCATCATTTCTGGGAACCTGTTTACTTCTTAGTCTGTGACTAGGTTGCCCAGGGCTGCAGGGCACAACATGTGCTCAGGAACTGGTGAAGCTGGGAAGCAGAGTCTGAGTTACCAGGGCGATGAAGGAGGAATGAGCACGCTCTTCTCTGTTTCCTGGTTCTCTCTGTCTCCTTGGCCCTAAGGGAAATTATTACTCAAAGAAAATGTTCTCATTAAGCAAATGGCTTATTTTTATGAAAAGACTGCGGTCCCTAGCCTCCTGGGTCTGAGATGGAGAGTTTGGGTGGGGATAGGGGACCGGCTGCAGACTTCCA